TCTCATGGGGAGAAATGTCAAAGTATTTATAGCCACGTTAATCTGTCACACTGAATAAAGATGAGAATGCAGTAAGTTCCCCACTTATGAATGAGTTCTGTTGTGGGAGGGTGTTCATAAGGTTGGGTTGATTTGTAAGTCTGACAGCGACTCTTATACACATTTTACACAAATATACAATATAAAGCATAAATACCAAACATACCCCAAAATAGAATAAGTCCTTGACTTTTACTGTTATGGGGTAGATAGCCTGCTTCTAATAGTGGTTCCCCAATTAAACGTTACCAGGTTCTGGGTTGCTCACCTCTCCTTCTGAAGTTAGATTGCAGGTTCTTCTTATCTCAAAGAACTGGCTGAGACAAGCCAAAAATGGTGCCAAAAGTCTATAGAAGGTGAGGGATGACGTGGTATGGGAGAAACTGGCTCTGCAGAGTGAACTTGGGCAGAACAAGAGAAAAAGAAAATAAAAGCAAAAATAAAAGTACACGTTGTGTCTGGGAAATGCATCCTGGGCTACCATGAGAAGTTAAGATAGCAGGTTCTTCATGGTGTCTGTGTCTTTTTATACTGACCAAATCTGTGAGAATTTCTACATACGTGTCCTGAGAGATGGTGCTGGGATCACACACCTCAGGCTGATGTCAGGGCTAGGCCATACTATTGAGAACCTGCCTGAGTTTTTGCTAGAAGTCCACATGCAGGGCTTTGGGAACTGTCACAGGTCACGCCTACTTCCCCAGCCAGCTTTGCCATGTCCTCCTGATCTCCTATATCACCACTGTACACTCTTACACATTGTAGCAAACACACAGCAGGGTAACCATGACAGTGACCAGCAGACATGTGAGCTACTTCCAGGATTTGCTCACATCTATGAATGTTCATAATGTGAAGTCCATTCACATTATGCAAGTTTGCAACTCAAATATTTGTAAATCAAGGACTTACTGTATAGATTTTAGCTACTATATCATATTTGTTCAAGTACTATCAGTTCTGCCATATTTCTCAATTGCTGCATTTATCTCCTTATGTTATAGTGACCATTCTGTGAATTTCTTAAGGGCAAGGGTCATGCCTTATGCATCCTGGTTAAACATACTGCCTATCTGAGCATAGGCAATGTTTCAGAAAGAGAAATGAGTCCCAGTCCTGGCTCTGTGTTAAGCACCTTTGTCAGCCCCAGTAGGACCCTGAAGTACTCTGGGCCTTGGAATTAAATGATCCTTAATATCTCTTCCTGCTTTTTTTTTTTTAAGGACTATCATTGTAAGAGTCTTCTTAAGCTGTTGTACTAAAATACCATAAACCATGTAGGGGATTTAAACAACAGACATATCTTTCTCACAGTTCTGCAGGCTGGAAGCCAAGGCCAAGGTGCTGCTCAGTTTGGTTCCTGATGGAGGGGGTCCTCTTGTTTGCTTGCGGATGTTGTCTTGCTGTGTGTTCACATGGAGGTGTGGAGGGCCAGAGATCCACTGTATCTCTGCTTGTAAGGCTTCTAAGTCTGTCATGAGGACTCTACCCTCATGGCCTCATCTGAGCTTAGTTACTCTCAAAAGCCCCGCCGCATAGTCTTATCACATTGAAGTTTGGAATTTTAACATATGAATTGGAGAGGGGCCTATAGTAGCCATTCCACTTATCTACTCAGGATCATTAGTTATAAAGCGAAAGAAGCCCGGATACAAGTCTCAAAAGAGAGGAGTGCAGGAATCAAGACATCTGAGAGTAAAAAGAGTAGAGGAAATGGATTGTTCTGCGGACAGTGTAATGTCTCTAGAAAGAAAATTTAACACTAAATTCAAGCACAAATGCTTGCATTATAGTGATAATGCTTATAATAGGAATGAAATGTAAAGAAGCATTTTAAAGGGGAGAAGACTGCAGACTATTTGGTCACAAGTGGTGAGAGTAATGAAGAGGCCTCTAGGTCCTGTACCCCTTTTCCCTTTCCTTTGGTAGGAAAGTGAACATTTATGTAGCATCAGTAGTGGACCCCAACTCTTGCTACAAATAAAATTACCTGGATGCCTCGGCCCCTCTCTGCAGAATATTTGGAAATGGAGCTTGGAACATCATGGCTTTCCAGACCTCTACTGGTGATTCTACTGCACAGGTATGGTTGACACTATGTCTAGAGTTAAAGGCATGAGCTTTATGGCTGTTATCAAATTGCAAAAAAAGATGAGGAGGGAAATGTGACAGCCACTAAATAACTTAGGGCATGGTATGCAGAATAATGGCCTTCCAATGACGTTTACAATCTAGTCAGAAGAACCTATGAATATATTATGCTACATGGGAAAGGAGAATTAAAGTTGCAAGTGGAATTAAGGTTGATCACAAAATAGGGATGTTACCGCAGATTATCCAAATAGGCTCAATTTCAAAGGGTCCTTAAAAAGTAGAAGAAAAAAGTTGAGAGAGTAGTCAGAAATGCACTGTTGCTGGCATTGAAAATGAAGAAAGGAGCCACAAGGCAAGGAATGTGAGCAGCTTCTAGAAGTTGGAGAAGACAGAGTAAGTAGTTCCCCCACTTAGAGCCTCCAGAAAAGAATGCAGCCCTGTAGATACTTGAACTTTAGCCCACAGTTACCTATGGGCTTTTGACCAATGGAAGTATGGGATGATAACTTGTATTGTTTTAAGCTACTGAGTTTGTGGGAATTTTTACAAGCTTCTCATGAAACTAAAACAGATGCTCAAATCAGAAAAAGCTTCACAGAGGAGGTAACTTTCGGTAAACTTTTGGAGGGATATCATTGGTGGAGGAAAAGTAGGCAAGATGTTGAAATTTGAGACCATCAGCAAAAATCTTTTAAATTCAAGGATGTGTAATATCAAGAATGCTTATAATAAAAAACAGGGGAATAAAACAATATTATGAGATTGACATTAAATTCCCCAATGAATTCACTCATAGGCAAGGAGAAATGCTCAGGAAGTTTTCTCAAGATTTTTACTTGAGTTGTTTTGCACCTCTACTGACTTAGAGGCTGACAAAGCACTTGTTTTACCTGGATGGTTTTAAATTACTTGTGTCAGCAAAGAAAGCAGATAGGATCTACAACTTCTATGTGGCTCTTCACCGGAATGTAACCCGGGGCATCATATTCCTATCACTTCCTCTAATCAGATCTGTAGACTCTGCTGATTTTTCATTAGTTTCTGAATTAAAAAAAATAATTGGGTCATGAGGCAGGTAGATACACAACATAGAAAGATAGACAATGACAGGTAGAAACAGAGTCAGAATCAGTGGGCAAAGAACCTTTATATGTACATTTGTTCATTACCATGTGTTTATTGACGATCTCTAGAGGACACAGGCATATATCCTCTTTGAGGGTCCATCAGTAAATGAGATAGGCAAGGTCCCTGTTCTCACAAAGCTCATAGTCCCCTGGAACATACAGGCAAGTAGCTGGGTAATTTTTCACAGAGTAAAAAAATACAAGTTGCTATAGGAAGAAAATGTGGATGGGGCAATTGGTTCAACCTGAAGTGGAAAGGGAGCATGTCAGGGTAGGCTTCCTGGAGAATGAACTTCTGAGTCACTCATTCTCAAATTGTGGTGCCTGGCTCTGCAGCATTGGCAACCTGAGAAGATGATTAGGCAAGAACACTTGCGAGATGCTTAAGCCAAATATACGAAGCCTGCAATTCTGGGGATGAGGTATAAAAACCCATGTTTTTATTAAGTGATCCAGAAACCTGATGAATTTCATTGAGAACTACAGTCTCACGCCTGGGCTGCTCACATCGGTGCTGTGGCCTCTCACTCAGAGATACTGATTTAATTGGACTGACTTAAAGCCTGGGAATGAGTATTTAAAGCATCACGTTTTTATGATGTGATTTGAACGTGCAGCCAGGCCGGAGACAACTTCATGATGCCCACAGCTGGAGAATAAGTTAGTCAAAGCCTGAGGGCTGAGGGGAGGACGATCAGCTTCTTACAGGCAGATATGCAGAAGCCCAGTTGTAGGAAGGAGTCTGGGGAGCTAGTAAGGCCAGGGGACTTAAAACTTCACAGTTTAGAATAGGTTCATAGCTGCAGATTTAAGTTTGTTTGTTTGTTTTTTGTAAACTTTAATGTTTACAGACATCATCGAAGGACTTTGTGAAAACACAGACACTTACTAAGTAGTTTAGGGGAGGGGCACAGTGAAGTATAGCTAGCAAGCTTGGTGATATGAAAAATGTCGCTGGTCTGAGGACCACACTTTGAGCAGCGAGGTTCTATTACCTTAGCTTGCCCTGAGCTTACACGTAGGAGAGTGCATGGGGACTGCAGAAGGGCGCAGCTACTCATTAGGACCCGAGCCATCCATTCATTTGGAGTGAACTGCGGAGGTCCTTTGCTGGGTGGGTATGCTCTGAGGGTAGAAAGGAAAGATGCTGCCCCTGCAATCTCCCTCCTGCTCCTCGGATTAGTATCTATCAAGGTCGTACTGCTTTTCGCTAAACACTACCTCCCCCACCCTCTCCTCGGGCCAAACTAGCTGAGTGCGTCTCCAGCCAGGCCAGCAGATCAGCTCCTTAAGTGACCGCTGAAGCTCTCTGGGCCCTGCCAGCCAGCCAGGGAGGCGCTGGCCGGGGAGGGGACTCTCCTGGGGCCGTCTCCCTCTTCCTACCTTCCCTCGCAGAGAGCGGTGGTGCCTGCGGCAGAACCTCCCTCTGCAGTAGCCCCTTGCACTTGGCTGGCACTTCTGGGCGCTGTCCATGGTTGCAGCATCTTTCGGCGCGCCACGTCAGGAGGCCGCAGCGGGGCCCGCGATTGGGGGAGGCGCTGGCCGGGGAGGGGACTCTCCTGGGGCCGTCTCCCTCTTCCTACCTTCCCTCGCAGAGAGCGGTGGTGCCTGCGGCAGAACCTCCCTCTGCAGTAGCCCCTTGCACTTGGCTGGCACTTCTGGGCGCTGTCCATGGTTGCAGCATCTTTCGGCGCGCCACGTCAGGAGGCCGCAGCGGGGCCCGCGATTGGGGCAACGAAATAGCCCAGGGCGCAGCCACAGCCTCCAGCCGCCTCCGAGCGGCCAGAGGGAGCAGCCGGTCTCTGCTCTTGGCCATTTTGCGGCCACCCTGCCACGGGGCAGGACCCGCGATCTTCCTCCTCCTCAACCCACACCCCAAACTCTGGTCCAAACCCATTGCCAAGACATGGAAGAATTTTTGCAACGCGCCAGGTCTAAGCTGGTAAGTTGGGAGAGCAAGGCCGTGTGTGTATGTGTGTGTGTGTGTGTGTGTGTGTGTGTGTGTGTGCGCGCGTGTGCGAGGGCGCGCGCCCATGCTGATGAAAAGAGGGAGAAGAACGGTGTTGCGATAGAAGAGAAAGAAACAACTTTGCCGTTTAGTTGTCAGAGTGTGCGAGCTATCCCCAGGAAACAAGTCTGTGCCACTCAGCCCTTCCTGCAATCGGTCTCCTCAATCCTCCAACCACAGCCAAAGTGCAGAGCGGGGTGTGGTATCGGCCTGGCCGAAGTTGGGTCGCACGAGTCCGGCTCTGGCCCCTTTGGCCTGCCGTTTAGAAAAAGGGAATTTTAGCCCAAATTATAGTTACCTCCGGAAGGATAGGGAGTAGATGGGCGTGGTCCTTCTTGAGAAAAAGAGCCCAGCTTTCTGCGGATGTGAGATGGATACGGTGAAAAAACAAAATCTCCAAGGGCATTTTGGAGGCGGCAAAAACCTAGGTGAGAAAGTCAGCGTGTGGGTAGGGTGGATGTGTGGTTTAGTTTGTCTGAGTCCTGAATTTTGCTTGCTCCGGGGCAGGAATTGGGGATGCTCTAGAGTATATTATGTCTCTAATATTCGTTCATATCTATAAACTGGGCCAGGGGAAGAAGGGGGAGAGACCCAACTGTTGCTGGTGACGTAGGATTCACCAAGTCGTTGTTCTCCTGAGAGAAGAACAGCATGTCCACTGTATGTTTTACTGTATCACCATCCAAACAGTGCACTGTGATGATTTCAGTGTGTGTGGTGACAGTTGCTACATGTTCTGGAACAACAGACTCTAGCTGTTTCCTAATTACAAACTGCTTTGGCCCTCCAGTGTAGCAGTAATAGAGGTAATGGAAATGCTTCTTTTTTGGCATTTAAAAAAAAGTCTGTGCCCAGTTACAGGTCATACCTTTAATGAACAGTGAAAGTGCTGTTTACAGGGCTGGCATAAAAAGCAATGCATAATTTATGATGCCTTTCACCTTTCAAACTTTCTTGGAAGCTAAAACATAAAGACTGCTTTAAGGTGACGTCTTAATTACAAGGCAGGATATCTGCGGGGTAATCACTGTAACTTATTTACCTTTGCACTGCAAAGGTAGCTTGGGAAGGGAGGGCCTGAAGATGCCCAGACCTCCAGTCAGTGCAACTGGAAGTGGGAATCTCACAGTGATCTAACTGTAAGTGTCCTTTATAGGACCATTAGAGTTGATTGACGCTGTGTAGGTACTTTGCTTTTTATCATCAGCCTCCCAGAGAGTTGAATGTGGAGATTTTAGAACTGAGAATGTTTGTGATTGTCTCTGTGTTTATTGACCTCCTGATAGTTTTACGAGAGCTCAGTGAACAGAAATATTTGTTATAGAAACTCAGTAACTATTTTGCAAGTCTGATGATTTAAGTGTTCATTCTGTTCTGTACCCAGCAATGGGTAAGAAGTGTTCAAAAATTTAAGTCAGTTCTGGCTCTTTGTGTATGTATGTGGAGATGAAAAATGAATGGTGATCAAGAATAAATACAGAGTTTTGGACTGCACCTGTGCTCCACTCCCATAGCATTAATTTTACCAACATTTTAATGAGAAAGATTTAGATTCTTAGATCTGATGTGAGGAAGAGTTTTGTCTCATTTCTGAAGAGCAATTGCTGGGATAAAAATTTCCCTATTTCAGAGTAATCAGTTGAAAGTAATGTGTAATTTATTTACCGAGTCCCTTCATTAGACGAGCAATTGCTCTACATCATTAAAAAAAAAGACAAAAAAGAAGAAGAAGCAGTTGTTTGAAATTCTATTACCAGTTTCCTGCCTTAGCCAGGAGAACAATTATAATTATTTTTCTATTTTCTTGGAGTAGGTTTTGAGCTAGAAATCAGCTCAAAGGTGTTTTGGTCACTTTTAGTCACACATTTCTCCTGATAAGTACTTTAGGCAATAAGAATTTTACTTAACATGCAATGTTCACACTCAGTAGCCATAAGATTTTACTTTAGAGGATAATCTTTTCTTTGTAGAAAAATGTTAATAATTGTATTATTCATTTGTGAGAGTTTTATTCATAGTAGAATGGCAGGATTTAAAAACTTTGCTAGTTCTTTGGAAAACATTTTAAGAGAAGAAATTTATTGGGCTGATCTTCACAACAAGCCAAGAGCTAGAATTAGAATTTAGAAATTATGGGCCTGGGATTTAGCTCAGTGGTTGGGTGGTCTTCCTTGAAAGCGCAAGGACCCGAGTTCAATCCCCGGTACCAAAAAAAAAAAAAAAAAAAAAAAAAGAATTTAGAAATTATTAGCAGTTTTCAGTTTTTTATCTAGATGATATCTAACATATGCCAAATGCCAGGAGCCCCACACTGGGTAGATTGGCTGCGGAGCACCCCCTTCATGAGCAAACACCACCAGTTATGCAGTTCAAGCAGCTGTTAATGGGTGGGGAGCACTGTGGCCCACATACCATAAGATGTAGGTCATGGGCCAGCCTCGGAGGGGGCTGTCAGCTGCCACTTGGAGGATACAGGACACACTGATGTCCCAGGAATGCTGTGTTCCAAGAGAAAGCGAGGTTAGAGTCACCACTGCAGTCCAGGGAACGCATCTGCCACTTCAGTGGTGTCAGCTGTGGGCGAAGGGCTCTGATCTGCAATGGTTATTAGTCAATACTTGGACTTCTATAGAAGAAGTATTCCGGGTGACTTAAATGTCAACTTATATTCTGTGCTATGTGGCATAAGGACAAGAACTCTCATTCATAACTAAATGAACAACTGCATTGGAGTGGATATAGGATATGCAGTTTAAAAGAAAACAAAGAAAACCCCTGCAGCATGCCTGCACAGTAGTCATCTTGATTGGAAAGTGGAGGAGAGTATCCTTCCTGCCTTTCATATCAGAAGAAGGTGCATGTCAATAAAAAGGGTCTTTTAAAGGTACCTTTTAAAGAGCTGCTGTGGGAAGGACTAATAGTGGAGAAACTGCAAAGCAGTTTCTTTTGAGGAGCTAAGCTCATTCTAATTAGAGACCATGAGATCCGCTTGTTCCACTGGAAACTAAGGACAATACTGGAGAATCAGTGCTTCCTGCCAGTGTTTATGAGTGCAACTTTGCAAGTGTGGTGTCAGCCAGAAGGGGCCCATGAGGAGTGAGCCTGTTATTGCATTAGTCCTGAAGTCAGCTCCATTTCTCACTGTGGAAGCATCCAGACCAGCAGCTGAGGATTGGCCCAGCCCCAGGTCCTTTGCAAAAGCACCAGACTTTTTCAGTGTGGAGATCTCAGAGAGGATTGGTCCATCTCCAAGGAAAAGAAGTGTTCACTGTAACCCAGATAGCAGCTTGGGTTTGAAGCATGTATGATCAGGTGAGATGGGACATTCATTAGTCTGTCATTTGGGGAGCATTTTATTGTCATCTAATAAAAAAGGTGACAACCTGTTTGCCTCTGTGTAGCATTTATTGGAGCAGATAATGATATCACTTTGGGTTTGGTGTACAAATCTGGATGCCTTTGCAATCAATGGTGACTTGGTGGTAGAGGCTTTATTCTCCTCTTGCATCTACCTCTCCTTGGAATGCTACCAGAAGAGAGAAAACTAAACAAAACAAAACACACACACACACAAAATGAGGAAGAAACAGCTGGGTTTGAATGGAAGTTACTAAAAGGGGTGACTGATTTTTCTTGAACCCTGGGATCATGGGGAGAATCGCTGAGTTTAGTCCATTTTGAAGGGAAACAGTGGAGGGGCAGGGCTTTTGTATTGAGTAAGGAACATTCACGTGGACTTTGCTATGAAGGACGTGCTTTGGGTTTGTTCAAAATACAACTGGCACAGTCACTTGTGGCTGTCCTGCCAGAGTTAGCAAGGCAGCCTACCCAAAATCTCTGGCCTCTTCTCAAATCTATGTCTTTCTGCATCCTCTGGCTTTGGGATTTGGTCTCTGGGGAATGGTGATCTTCTTGAAAGCTCTTCTGAGAGCCTCTAGGTTGCCCTGAAAAGTCAGACCCACAAAGTCTGGGTTAGAAATATTAAGCTCTTAGTGGGTCTTTAATCTGACAAATGGTGCTTATTTTGCAGATGTATTGTAAAGCCACACTGATACATCCATAATCCTTAGCACAGAACTTGGAACACTGGCTGCTCTTTCCACTTGTCCCAAGCTGGTCTCTTCTGCCTGTCCTTACATTATAATTTATGGAGTTTCTCTTTCGCCATGTTTTTCTTCATCCTGTGCAACCCAGGGGTCACGGAGCCACCAGGTGACCACAGTGGTTAGCATACAGGTCTCCTGCAAAGTGCTCTCACACTGCTGCCAGAGGGAGTGAGAGTATCAGGCACTCAATGTTGAAAGGATCTTTCTCACCTCTCCCACCCTCCCTAAAACCTCACCATCACCTCCCACTGCTCTTTGGAGAATTGACGACACTGTCAGCCTGACCTTGCTCTTCACCTTCTTCTGACATCTTCTCCTGCTCCCCTTGGCTTAAATAATCCACATCTCTTCTTCAAACAAAGTGAAGACAGGAAGGCTCTGCCAACTGAGCCCTTCCTACCTGGCCCTAACTGTTACCTGAGTTGAAGTGAAGTTTTTAAATACAGTTTTTAGATCATTTAATCTTAGTTTGTTAATATGTCCCTGTTGGGCATGTTTGATTAATGCCAATTTGATGAGAGTAGGGACCAGCCTTTCTTTATGGTTTTGTTTATTATCTTATCAGCAGGGTCTGGTGAATGCCTGATGCTTATTAAGTGTATTTAGAATAAATGAAGGCATAAAGCAAGAGTCCCGCACACAGCATGAAAAGATGTAGTGGCCCAATAAAAAATGAATGACTCGGTAGTCAGAATCTTGGAGGTCTGAATCAAAAACAGGACTGATGATGGCATATAGGATGCCAAACTGGCTTGCTAGAAGGTGAACAGCATTTAGATCAAGGAGCACACTGTACTGCTTTGCAAGTGGTATGAATTTAACACAAAA